GTTTAAGTTATAGCGTGACTGTGGAAATCAAGTGTATTGCAAAGTTGTATTGAGAAAGAATAAACTAGTTTTATTTAAGAAAGGACTTGTATCGCTAAAGTTTCTTCGGAAAGAAGTTTTACGGAAAATTAACAAACGAACAGAGACGTAACAATAATATAGAATTAAAGGTAAGAGAGAGCTATTAACAAATCCTGAAAGAGAGGATGTGACAGGTGGGTGTGGTAGGAGGAGTCTGATTTACTATTTGATAGCTCTGTAATGAAACAAAATTGAAGGCTATAAAAATTATGGTATGTTTGTGCAATGACGATTTTATAGTGAGTAATTTACATTTAATTTCGTAGTTACTGGAGACGTGGTGGATACAATATAGTCACATGTGTCAGACTATTGGAAAATTCAGGATTTTTTACAATATTGTTACGACAGCGGAAGTCACGTGACTCTGCTGGCGCATTGGCGCTAGTGGTGTGTGCAATAAGTTTCTCGAATGATCGTGAATTTCCTAGTTTGTTCGGGATGCCCTCTTTTTAGTATATTAGCCCGGCAAATAAAGGGGAGAGATAGATAGATTGAAGAGATAGATAATTGAGTCAAACGAACACTAGGCACCGTAAGTAAAGTGTGTGTGAATCATTGCGATTTATAGCGTGTGTTATAAAAGTTGTTAAGTGTATTACAAAGTTGTATCCAGAACGAATAAACTAGTTTTAATTAAGAAAGGACTTGTATCGCTGAAGTTCCTCGGAAAGAATCTATACCGGAAATTAAGGAAATTATCAAACGAACAAATACGTAACAATATTGTCTTATATAATTAAGAACATAAAACTTACATATTATTAGAATATGAATTACTGGTTAAGATTTTATGTTATACAAATTGGTATACCATAAACAAAAAGTAGTTTAATAAAATTTTGAATATAAGACACTAAAACCATGTGCCGTAAAGGAAACCCTTGGCGATAGGGTGAATATGTGTGATAAGAATGATCACTTACCTAAGTACTATACGATTATGAAATGACACCAGTACGATAAAGATATAGTCCATTTTGTCTACGTTATGGAAAGAATTCTGTCTGCTCCAGGTCTCCTGTTGTGTCAGCGGTGAGTTAATGGACGTACAATGCTAAAATCGAGGGTTTGGTTCCCTGTGGTGAGCACAGCACAAATAGCTTTGCACTAACACAAACAAACAAAACACACTCACACGCGAAAAAACAAACAAACAAAAAACAACAACAACAAAAGAACACAACAAACTCTGCCACATAATTGTCTGGGACATGTAACAAAATACTAAGCTCGTAATGTTTGTTTGTTTTGAAGTTAAGTACAAAGCTATACAATGGGCTATATGTACTCTGCCCACCACGGGTAACGAAACTCGGTTTTTAGTGTTGTAAGTCCGCAGACATTCAGCTGTGCCACTAGGGGGCAACTTATAATGAGTTTGGAAAAAATTATAAATAAAGATATATCAGCCGACAAAAGGAGAAAAAAGATAAAGAAAGTTTGATTGCAAAATTTTGGTTCTCGGCTAATCTCGGGTCTGTAAGGTTATTAGACAACAGTTAGGAACCGTTTTAAAAATAGCTCGATTGACTCTCACTCTTATTAGGCACATATGACTAAATGTGCAGAACATGTTCAACGGCGTGAACCTTGGACCTTAAGTTTCATAGTACAACATGTTAATCACTAGGCTACACCCAACCTAATTTTCTTCTGTAATAGACAATAGATCTGAAAAAAGTAAAAGAACAATTCATTTTTTATAGAATAATAAAAACTTTGGTAAGAATTTTTTAATATATTAATTAATATAACAGAGGGCTCTGTTTCATGTTTTTCTGCTTCAATGACTATTTACAGAGGTAACTCTTAGATCGATATAAGGTGCATACACAAATTTTGAAGGATGGCTGAGGAGGAGGATCCTAGCAGCTATAGATGGGAAACAGAGTATGAAAAAACCTGGTAAGTAATGTTAAATTGGACTTCGAAAATTTAATACTTATGCTTTATTGAAATGTTATAAAACATCCGTAAGTATTTATACTTAAGTACATTTTTAAATATAATAGCAATAATCTATGGCAGTGTGGAGGGATCTTGTAAATTGTATGTTATTTATTAATATGAATTTTATTTTCCTTTTATCAAGTATTTCAGATTAAAATTATTTTATCCAACTGATTTGATAGATCTAATATTGTAAAAAGTAATTTACGGAGTTTCTTTGGATTATTTAAATGCTGTATTATTCAATTTTTGTGTCCATTTGTTTGTAACTAAGCGCAAAGCTACGCAGTGGGCTATCTGTGCTTTTCTGTGTCTTTCATTTAGTGTGGATTGAACAAGTTAAAGGTAATTTGCCATATAGAGGCTTTGCTAGGCACTGGTACATGGGACCCATGCCGTGATGCTGTTTGACGGTGCTCTGAATCCCCAGTTACTGTCTTGAAAAATCAGAATAGAAAACCATGATCAATATCATACTTAAATGCTTAAAATTCCTGTGCTTATAGGCCCAAGCTCTGAATCTTTTGGGTACCTAATGATGCCTCTGGTATGCATTATTAAAAAACATCAGTACAAATGGCCTGTATAATTTTTAAACTTTAAAGTTTGATTACATTTTTCGTTACACTTGTTACATTCTTCATAAGTTCATGGATGTTAAAAATGCAATATAATGTGTAGCATGCTAGTATTGTGTGAATTATCCTTGTCTGCTGTTGTCAAAGAGGACAACTCTTCTAGAAATTCAGGGATATTGTGTGAAACTTCATTAGTGATGTTAAAAAATACTTTCATAGCAAACAGCAAATTAGACATTATTAAAAGGACCTAGTTCAGTATTCAATAAAGTAAATTTTTCTACTTTATACAAGTCTCTTCTATCTATCACAGAAGTGTTGTTTAACCATCTTGTTACCAGCTGTAAAGAGTGATAGCGAAGGTTTAGATAAAGTTAAGGGAAAGGCCAGAAAGTTAGTTTGAAATATACAGAAAGAGAAGGTATTAACAATATTCCTGATCCATAGCATTTTAGGGAAGTACTGGAAATGACCCGAACCGTCTAGATATTAATCACATACTGGTAAGTAAATCAGATATAGATAAAAGATAAATTAAAGACCAGAACCAGACAAAAGTTTTAAATAAGATCAAAGGTAAGAGTTGCCCTGGAACAGTGGAAGTCATAGACCAATTAGTTTTACCTGTTTAATGCAGGGCTTCCTCCAGAAACAAATGAAACTCTTTGATTATTGATTCTCAGTTAATTTTAGAAGAAAATCCTCCACAATTATGGGTTAATTTATTTAAAACAATCAGAAAAATATATATTTGGGGTTTTAGGAACAAGTATTTTCTCTGCTGATATGTGTTTACTGCTGTTAATGTGGGTTCCATGACTTTACTAAGCTCATTGTTAACACTGATTCATCTTTTGCTACTTTGATTCTAAACTGGAAAATAAAAATAAATAGGCTTCATGCCAGATTGAATAATTGTTTTTTTTTGTCATACTAGTTCAAAATAGAAATAGAAAACTTCTTGTGACATGATATTGCAATTGCCTCTTAAAGTTAAATGCAACTATAGAGATTACCTAAAGTAGACTACAGTGACTACCATGACCAAAAATTTGAAGAAACAAGACTTTATTGAAACATTGATGCTGAGTTTTAGTCACTATTTAATCACTTGTAAGGCATGCTAAAGGTTCCTTAATTATATTTTAGATTGTATTCATTAGAATTAATTACAATACAATATATTCTGTAAACAGACTTGCTTGCTCATTATTCATGATTTGTACAATTTACTAAGCTCATCATTCTTCATCATTACCTTTTAACAATATTTCAAGTTACTTGATACCACAACTACTTGCACAGTTCTGACACTTTTTTTGGCACTTGCAATTTGATATCAAGTGCACCAGTGAGATGGTCCTGTTCACACACTGAAATTAGAAACTTAGGAATCACACAGTGCTTCTATAGTGTGCGGTCTACAAAGATATTTACACTGTAGCATGTAGTCTACACAGATACTATCATCATCACCATTTTAATGATTCACTAAAACATAATTTCTTGCTAAATAATTTATATCTTTCCACATTTTTGTTCAGCAAATAATAATAATTTATTAAGTTGAGTATTCCAGAAGAGTACCTTAAATTTAGGTTATAATTGTGCTAGGTTTGATTGTTTTGATTTATTTCATTCTGATTATATTTGCCCCCAAAACGTTATGCAATGGTATTCTGTACTTTATTAGTTTAAAATCATTATTTATAATAAATGGTGCCTGTTGTAAATAAACAAAAGTTGATGATAGTATCTGTGTAGACCGCATGCCATAGAAGCACCAATCACTCATTATGGAAATAAAATATCATTTGATAATATTTGTTAGGAATTTTTGCAAACACATTACAGGACTCAGAAAATAGCCCTTCTGCTTTCAGTGTGTTAGCCTATAAAAGTCTCAATTGATGTGTTTGATAGCTCCCACTTGAAAACTCAAATAAATGTTGAAAGTATTGTCAGTTAACAAGAAATTTAATTTTAGAGGAAAAAACAACAAGAATTGTCACATGTCCCAAAAAAATAAGTAAAATAAGGTTGTATCTTGCAATAAAAAAAGTAAAATTGAAACAAGGTGATCTGACGTGCATTGTAAATTTTAAACAGTTGATTATCAATCATTGCTTTAATTTTTTTTGCTCTATTAAAGGGAAAGTATTCATGAAGATGAGCAAGGACTTCTTCAAGGTAGTGTTGAAGAAATTCTTCATCGCAACAAGAGACTTCGACTACAAAAAAAGAAAAATATTCGCCTTGGAATGGTAACTTAGTTTACTTTTTAACTAATTTACTATAGATTTTTTAATGTTTCTATTGTGTTATTGCATTATTTTAAATAAAGTCTTTGGTATTGTACATTGTTTATAAGTAAATTATAAGTTTTTGTTTGTTTCATAATTGTTAAGTCATTCCTTGGTTGTTTTGCTGAAAAATTAAACTTAATTACTGCAAACAAATGAGTTTAATAAAGGTCAATTAATGAAGTGAGTCAGAACTTCTCTTTGCATGTAAAATACTCAAAGATTTTCTTCCTTCAAGCATAGCCTTATGTAACATTTTTATGTTCTGTTCTCTAAATTTTGCTATTTTTTTTTCTTTTGTTGGAAAAAATTGAGGCATGATTTTAGAGGGATGTCAGAAACCAAATGTCATTATGACATTTTTTGGTTCTCCATTTTTCTATTAGTTCTCATGCTGACAGTTACAGTGAAAGCATGTACTTCATTGTATTGTTTTGTAAAGGTTTTGAAGCTTTAATTTATGTACTTTGACATTTGTTCTGCAGTGTACTTGTCCTTTGCTCTAACATAAGTTTTATATAAAAAAAAAAGCAAATGGATGTATTATAACTATTATGCTGAATGAACAGACAAAGATGCACAAGTTTGCTTGTTATAAATCCTTGTAATGTGATGAGCAAAGTGAAAATTTTATGTTAATTAATTTAATGAGCCAGTATTCATATTTTGAGAAGGTTCTGAAATTTGATTTGCTTGAATGTATTATAACAAAAACATTACATTGAAAAATGCAGACTGTGCTTTCTGTACATCCTCTTAGATATTTGTTAGTTTTTAATGTATACACATCTTAGAAAAAAACATTATAATACAGGTGATTATACTGTACAGCCTCTTGTTATATACAGATTAGCTAAACTGTAATTAAAAGTTAAATGGTTATTTGAGCTGAGCAATTTACTCAATTGCCTTTGAGCAATGATTACATCAATTAGTATAACATAAAATAATTAATTGAAATTACTATTAAATCAACTAATATCATGAAAAAATCAACTAATCATACTTAATTTTTCAGATTATTACTATTTTCAATTATTCCAACTATCAAAGTCTCATGTAAAAACAATCAATTAGTTGAGTGTAATTGATTAATGAACCCGATGATTAATTATCAAATTCCAGTAATTGTCCTTCTCTAATGGCCGCAGTACCAGATATAATAACAGGGAATAAATAATAATATTTTAGTCTATATAATGCAATTATTGTGCTAGAAGAATGTGATATTAATCAGGTCAAAGACCAGGTTTTAATAATATGTTTCAGTTAAATGTGTTTACTCTTTGTAGATGAGGCACTTGTTTGTTATAGTTGATCTTTCTGAAGCAATGGCTGTACAAGACTTGAAGCCAACAAGACATCTGTGCACAATTAAGGTAGTTTTATCTTTTATGTATATTTTGAACTTAATTATTCTTTCTAATTTAGATTTGACACTAGTTATCTGCCTGTATTTTAAAATAAATTAAAAAGATATGCCCGCCTTTATAAAAAAAAACAAAAATTGAGAAGGTCTATTTCTTTACTTATACATTCAATTTATATCCTTTAATGGCAAGTTCAAATCACCTGGGGATTATATTTTTGGTTTTCTGACAGCTAGACTAGGTTAGTGTAGCCTATTCAAAATCAGTGTATAAATGAAACAGTGAAAATACACGCTAAACAGTGTTTATAAACTATTGTGAAATACTTTCAATTAATTTGAAGTAGATTTGTAATTATTGTTTGCTGTGTGGATAAAAACACAACTTTCGATTGTGTACCTAAGGTAATCTTTAGAATTATTTTCTACTAGCTGTTGTATGTCAAGTTTGGTTCAGATTGGTCAAAAACTATAAGCATTTGAGATAGAAATAAATAAATATACACACACACACACACACGCACACATGTATATATATATATATATATATAGAGAGAGAGATATATATATA